GAGGAGCTTGGTGAGCTGGTAGTCAGCCCCGGGCATGTCGACGCCACTGGTGGTGCAGAAGACAAGGTGGGTGATCTTGGACTTGGGCTGTCCCCATTCCTTAATGGCCTTCGTSGCAGCCTCCTTGCCCAGTTTTGGCACCTCAACCACCACCATGTCCTGTCTAGCATCCAGCGAGGAAGCCATGTACTCACAGATGTTTGGGTTCTCCTTCAAGATCTCCTCGGTCAAGTGCATGTAGCGCTTCTTGATCATTGATTTCTCGCCTGAAATGCACATCAAAGTTGTTAAGAGTCTTGAGAGAAACAAATTAAGTTGGGTTAATGTGTCTAACTCAGCCGGATCGTTGAGTCATCCGGATGATGAGTCTACTCAATTCCTAAAGTCTTTCTACTTCTGGCCAGGTCTATTTGTCTTGGCCATGGATCAATAAATTCACCCAAAACTGGATGAAAAAAAAATCTAACAATGAATTATATTCAAACACTTTAGCTAAAGAAACTCTCTATATGTATGATATGATCATACTTCAAAGTTCAAATCCCTCTAAATAAGCTAAAGCTCAATATCTGTGTTTGTTTTGATCAATTCACTCAAAATAGACAGATACCATGACCCAGGGACAATGTCTTCCGATCGACTGCCGGTTGCCAATAGACTCGACAGTGATCAGTGACACACTGATACTTACACATGCGCTTAAACTTCTCTTTGAGCTCTGTCTTGTGCTCGCTGTTGGTGATCCGGAAGTAGTAGTCAGGGTATGTGCTCTGGTCGACACAGTTGGGCGGATTGGCTGTTCCAATGGCCATCACAGTGGCCGGTCCTTCAGCCCTCTGTGCCTTGCGGATGTCTTCCACGGTCACCATTTTCGCCTTGAGCTAGCTGAGAGAGAATTGAAGGATTAATTAGAGGTAGGCCCTTGCTGAAGATGCTGGTGGCCGGCTTGAGGTTGAGGTGCTAAGAACTGATGAGAGGGAAGGACACTGAATGGCTTCTTAATATTATTAACCAAGTGGTAGATGGGGTATCAACTATCACGTGCTTGACCGAACCGTCGTGGCCAATTACCAATCATTCTCGAGACTGAGTGCACGTGAGAAATTTAATTCGGTGCAGCTAGCCTCCCAGCCCCCTTACAGCTCCACCTTACTCCATTGTTGAGTTATTTGGTTTTGATATTACCTAATTAATCATCAATCAATGCACATGGAGAAAATTATTTGTTTCTTTTTTTGGTAAATTACAGATTACTACCCTGAACTTCAGGGTAGTGGCAATCACCCCTGAACGAAAA